TTTTGACGGCCGCGACAAGATACGATGCCTGGTTTCGTGTGATAGTATCGCGTTCAGCTCGGTGTAAATTAGAAAGACCGAAAACATTTTAAAATTCAAAAGCCTGCAGGAAAAAATGTTCAATTAGTACCTACACATAAAACGCACAACTTTTGCCAGAACCGACAGCGCTTTCAGTAAAGATTCACTTGGACACTAAAGACACTTGAATACATATAATGGGCAGTAATTGAGATACCACACTTTAAATAGTTGCATAATTCCAATATCTAATTATTCCAACTTCGGCTCTCGATGGAGACAATGAGTTTTCGAAAAAAGCTACGTGGGAGAAGAGAATAATGCAACGTAGTGGTCTTATTAATAATTCAAGTTGTTCGATTAAATTAAACATAACTGGAATGTTTACATAGGAGGTAGGTCAGGTAAATAAAAGCGGTTCCGAATAGAAAAAGGAGACAGTGCTTGTTAGCAGGACTGGATTCAGACACACTTGATAAATTTTAAGCCAAATGAAAACAAATTCAKTAAAAAAAGCTGCATTAAAGCGTTCAGTTGATGAAGGTCTGAAGGATCAAACTCGAAACATTTTCARCAAAAGTTCGAGCAATTAAAAAATATGCAAAACAGTCCAATTGAAAATCGATCAAACTATGAAATAGTCAGATAAACAAAGGGTGAAAACATGAAGGATGTAATAATGGAATAATGGCATGAAGGAATAATGGCGATTAAGCATTAAAAAAACGGCTAAAATCAAGCTACCAAAAAATAAAATAAGGATTTAATCATTTGGAGCAATTTTTCTCATAAATTGTTTGCCACATTTAATTTGGCTTTTTCCCCGTTTTATCTAAGTTTATTAGCTATTGCTCATTAGTTCATTTTCTTCAGTGTCTTGTTTAACATTTTCGTATTTGGTTTTGGCCACAATCTGACAACAGACTCTAGTGTTACATTTTTTAGCCGGCTGGAATGTTCAAATGCTCTTTTCGCAATATTTTTTTGAGAACCATTTTTTTCTTGTGCCCTTCTTTCATCTGGTTTGTTTCATCATTCCGAATTTGAAGATATCTGAAGGCTTACGGCATATTTTCATAATTTGTTCCGGAACTTGAATTATATTTGAATGAAGTCCTTGAGAACTCTTTCTTTTTTGTTCGTCTTTTATTAATTATTTCTGCAAATCGGCAAGAAATCATTAGTAATGAAGATCTGCTCAGCTTCAGAGACACAATGCTCAATGTTGTTTTTAACGACAGTAAACTCTGTTACGGCACACGGATACAAGAAAGGAACAAATAAAAATTTAAATAACATAATATACAAAAGTAACTACAAATCGCTTATGCCATCAGGAAAACGACCTGAACGAAATTTTAATAATTGAATGCAAAAAGGAAGCAGAAAATGAATGTAAAACGCAGCCATCAGAAAGCAAACATTGAAAAAGAACGAATGTATTTATTTAAATTATTGTTTAATGTAGCAAAAATATTATATTTTGTCAGTAAACTGTGGCTTCTTAATAGACCAAACTGCTGTCTTCACCTWYYGSTTKAKTTAAATYTTMCYKWTCMAAAATATGTYTRAWMAMWTTAGYKKTRTYTTTTTTATCYTKAYKWTSGCYWGAGTT